TTCAGAATCGTGGCCAATCTGTGAGCATCGGGCGCATGTGAGGCTGCCACGACAAGACGTCTTAGAATGGCCGAAACGCTGGCATTGGAAACATCGCATAGGGTTTGGAATATAAGGTCTTACAGGAATATTTAGATATCCGGCCTTAATATTCTTAGGCAGATCAGGCGTGTTGAAGGTAAGGATCACGTGTTTTGTATCGATCAACTTACCTTCCTTTCGCATCTTGATCCGCCTAGCACCACAGACATTTTGGTCAGCTAACTCGGAGACGAACTCTTCTTCTGAAACACACAGAAGGTCGATCTCCGAGATCACACCTCTACAAAAATTAAGTGTTTTGTGCGCTGACACAGTTATAGATATTTCTCCAAATTTGGTTTGTCCGGAAAGAGAAGCAGACTGGGTGGCCGACATGGTATCAATAAGCAGGTCTCCTGACCGGAGACGCTTTATGTTCCTTGGCTCACCTATACATGAATGTATATATTTGTTTACCAGAAAAGGAGACATCTTTTGCAGTTCACCAGAAGGACTAGAGAGACAACAAGGAAGCGCGGGAATCAGTAGATTCTTTGGTATTTGCATCGGTTCGGATCTTCTTGGTACTGGATTTGTCAATGATTTCAGTATCTTTTGTCATTTTCATCGGTACGGGTCTTCTTGTTAATTGATTTATCAAACTGAGTTTCAATATTTCTATATCTTTGTTGGTGTCATTTGATTCAGGTTTTTTCAGAATAAAAAGAGAAGCCATAATTGAAAGAGAAAAATTCGGGTCCGACGGCCCCGCCCACCACGGAGCCCAACAAGGGAACACAGATTCCTGTGTTAGGGCTAGCCGGACCTATACGCAAACTGAAGCCCCACAGTCGGCTTTCCCGAAAGCAGGTACTCCCGAGAGCTTGACCCCAAGCCACTGACACAAGGACTAGTGACCAGCCGATTGACACCCGTGAGGACGACTAAGGTGCCTCCCGTTTAGCTGAAGCAGAGGCCAAAGTAGTGTGTTGGGGACAGGACAGTAGCCCTACCTCGCCCCTCAACTACCAGGACCCTCCTTTCCAGCGACACGGGTCTCCACGCACGGCAAACACGTGGGCAGTTTTCTCGCCACTCGAGAACTAGAGACAAGGTCTGTTCCAGTCTCTCGTGACGAGCCCCAAACTCCGTAGAGAGAAACCACGAGGGAGAAGAGAAGGGAAAAGTTCCAGCAAAGAGGAGAGGAGACGGAAAAGAGGATAGATCACTGGGGCTCTAGGATCATGACACCCGTCTCACCAAGAAGATGATCCCCTGAAGGGCTAGGGTACCTCGGGATTGCCACACCCGTACTCACAAAAGTGAGCCCCCTGAGGGTAGCATGCTTTGAAAATTTTGTTTGATTAAACATTTTTTAAACAAGTCTTTAAACATTCATTTTATAACATAGGCATTACACAGTAGCACAACTTTAACAAATCATGACCGTTAATCCATCACACATACCAGTCCATAATTAGGTAGGTTAATTTTTTTATTTCTAAGAAGTTTTTAAAAATTGAATTTATGCTCATACATAACTAATAGTGATATACAGTATAAAAAATAGCATGTTTGCACAAAGCAGCAAGAACTGATCAAGAGCATTTGCTGTGCATATTTAAACTTGTCCAAATAAACATAAAAAATGCAGCACTCTCTACCATTTAGATAACTTTAAGTCATCATTAAATGCAGATATATTTCCCTTCATGCACTGCAAAGAAAGCTGCACCTACATTCTGCAATAAATCAAGAAAGATCCAAAAATCAGTATTTGTGACACAACCTGGATTTTACAATATGATCTGGAAACAAATGTCAGTCACTGCCTAGCAAAATTCTTAAATTGAGATCAATGTTTAAAGGAACATGTTTTGAATCAATGCATGCAGTAAAAGAAGAAAACATCAGATACTTTGAAACGAATCATACAACTGCTTAGCGCCTACAGTCAACCCGCAAAAACACGATTACATCAATATATATATAGTTGTGAATGGGAAATATTAGAAGAAGACAAGTATTAGATTTATCTCCATTATTAGATAACAAAGAATCAGTATGCATGAATGAGCGTTCTTCGCATTGTGGAGAAATGGTGGAACCTAGGAGCCACCAAATTTTGAACACGTACAGTCCTTCACCCGAACAAGTGCACTTTGAAGCCCAAACTTTTTATTTGTAATTTTTTTATTTATTTATTTTATATTTCATATGAATTTAATGAACTTTTTTTAGCATATTCAGCAAATTAAAAGCAAACAATGGTAATGCTAAAGTAAAACACTTTTACCATCACTGTCCCAGACTTAGACATTTATCTTTGAATTTCAAGTAAAAAAAAAAAAAACTATTTACAAGTAGTATGTTCTACTGTCTGAAATAAAATACTTTTATCTTCTATGTGACAGTGTGTTGCCATTCAGTAAAGCTAATTATCTTTCAAATTTAATCTCTCTGTTACTGAGTAACAAAAAGCAATTTAAGACTAATAAATGCAGTCCTTAAGAACATTTGTTCTACTATTAATCTGAGTCATATAAATAAAAAAGCATTTAAGTTAGGAGATGTCTGATTAGAAATACTAAATATTTTTATGAAATTATGCTAGCTGAACTCAATAAAATCAATATGTATTTTTCTTTTTTGTGATAACTAATCTAGGCAACTGGACGCACAAGCAGCTAGTGTTTAAAAGAATTCATGTCCAATCGAGCATGAAAAAATCTTCTATAACACCTCTTACATCTACTAGAAAAACCTCATATGACTTAAAAACTGTTCATCCTTTTTAAAAAATACACACCTGGAACATTTCAAAACATTGAATGCATCCCCCCTTTAGTCATGAAGAAAGTGCTTAAAATATAATATCTATTCAGATGTAAATCATCTAGAAGTGGAATTTAATGCAATCTCTGTATAAAATGCCCTGCACATAGGAAGAACCTCTTCAAAAATCACCCCGCCAAAAAAAAAAATCGGAATTGAAATATAAGCTTTGAGTAAAATTATTTCAAAGTTAATATGAGCAATAAGTTAACAATTTAAATTCTATTATCGTGCATTTTCAAATATGAACAAAATACCTTTTAACTTATACAGTTTTTGCGAAATTCGCTAAAAGAAGAATTTTTTAAAGCTATCATAATATTTAAAAATTTTCAGTCGTAAGAAAGTACACACACGTGGTAAACAATTTCCTATAGAAAGATTATATGTGTTAACTTGATACATCATATGATGAAATGTAGTTTTGTCATTACATCACTTTAGCTGTGGTAATTTTTTTTAAACATATAAAATACTTCTCTTAAGATAGTTACTTCAACTGTGCAGCCAGGCACCTCAAATAATAATTATAAAAAGAAATAATATATAATTATTTTAATGAATTCAGCTAGTAAATAAAAAAAACTGAGTTGTAGTAACAATCTTGATATTTAAAACACAGATTTTGCATATCGCTGCATATGCCATGGTAGTAATCTGTGTAAATTCATTCCTACAAAAATTTTGAGAAATCACATTTAATCGTTTCTATTTTGTTTCCATTTTACATAAAGAGTTTCAATTACTAATTTGATGCAGTGCAAAAACAATAAATATATAAAGCATTTTATGCATTTTCAATCACTGCCAGCAAATAAAATTTAAAGGACCCTAAGTACAAACTAAAAGCAACTGAGCAGGCTTAATGAGCTAACTAATAAAGAGCACTGAGCAGGCTTGAAGCAGGCTCAATGAGCTAGAAGAATATAAAACTATTTACCAGAATTTCATTGCTTTATCAACTCATGCTGAAAACTAATTTTACAATTAACATGAACACGACTGAAAAAGTTTAAAGGGGTTAATTTTTACATTATTTTCATATATTTATAATATTTAATCCTTTTGGAACAAGCATCCCATACATCCACTCCCTACAAATGTCTTAAAGCCAGACATCTCATCCATGCATTACTGGAGAATATGCTTAAGGGGCAGGTGATCCATACGTGCATTTTAAACTGAACCATTTATTAAAGACCACTAGATAGCGTTCTGTGTCCATTATACTTTAACTGAACATAGTTTTAGAATCCTGACCTTCAGTTTGATTACTTTACCTAACTTTGGTTGTCAGCTGTTGTGGAGGAGGGGAGAAAGCATAAGGTAAATACACAGAGCTTAGCTTTTTAACTCACCACATGATATAAACATTCGTGTTTCTGATATCCCTTCAAATCCTTTTTTTATTTTTTATTTTGCTACTATGTACGGTCTTTTAGGGTTACTATGTGAGGGTCTGTTACACCTTCCATTGCTTTTATTGCTTATATTCCTTGTAATTCCCTTTTTATTTCGGAAAGCTTTAACTTAAGTTTATTATAGCAAGCAAGCATTATTTATCAGAGGAATGATATACTTGCATGATAAGGAGCTAATTAATGACAGGGATGAAAGTGATGATTCATTTTCTAGAATTACAAAATGTTATTTCTAGTCCTTCTAGCTCACCTGAGTGCCTGCCTTCCGCTCCCCATGAAAGATTTTGTTACTTCTTCTTGTAAATAGTTTTTCTTGTATTTTTTATTAATTATTTCTTATATTTTTTATTATCTGTTATTTTCTTGTATTTATTATTCTTGTATTTTATGCATTTTAATATATATATATATATATATATATATTCAATTTATTTCAAATGCAATACAGGAAGTTTATTAAACCATGGCAGAAAATTCAACTCATCATGAGACAAGTGAATCTGTGAAGAAAGAGAATCTAAATAATTTCACCTGAGAAGTTAACTCATTAGTAATTTCTTTGTGCCAGAATAAATAATATAAATAAGTGCAAGATGGAATTAACATATGTCAAAAATGCATTAGTTTCTGATAATTACAGAAATACTAGGTCAGCAATATTTTTTCTGTCTTTAATTTCTTAAACACATTCATGAATTATTAAAAAGCTGCATATAAGATTACCTTCTTCGCTGCTTGAAAGTTGTACAGGTGAGCTGCCATTACACATTTCCATTGGAATATTATGTGTTTTTTCCAGCATATTATTTGTATCTACCATATGTCGATTTAAAGGCTGAGGGTGCAATATTATTTCTTCTCGATTACTAGCTTCTACACTGTTAGTTGGACTCACATGAATAACTTTCACAGTAGGTGTCGTTAGTTCTGGATTCTTATTCTTTTCCCTCTCTTCTAACTCAGCCTTGGGAAGAAAAATTAATCAGTATAATTCAATTAATTAGTCAGATATAAAATACTATTTATGTTAATTAAGGTTACTTTTATTTAATAATATCCCATGCTACAGATAAAAATGTTTTACAAAAGATAAAGAATTTCTGTTCATATCATGAATTAAATATGGCATAATTTATTTCTGCTCATACTGGTATACTATCAAACTTTTCACTGCAGTAAACTAATTTAAGAAGAAAATGATTAAGATGAAATGATTAAATACGGTAATAAAATACTTATAATCAAAAATAATTCACAAGTATATTTTACCATCAGTTTTGAAATATTTATTAAAAGATATTAAATTCATACTTTGATAGATTTAAAAAAAGAATTTTCAATTTTAAAATTATAATTTAATTAGTATAAAGAGTTCTCATTGCAACTGAAATAAATTTCAATAAATCCAGCTCATCAGAAAAAATAGTACTTAAAATTACCTAATATTACAATTATGCAACAAATTTTAAATGATTTTTGTTCTTTCTATAATTTATATATTATACTTAATTAATCTACATGAAATATAAAATTATTTAATAAATTTATGAATAACAAAAGAACTAAACATCTTTCCAATCATCATATCATTTCAAAAATTTGAAGAATTCTACAGAAATTGCAGATTCTTTCCATTACAGAACAACTTGCCAAACAATTTCTGATACTTTCAGATTATCCACACACTACTCCAAAAAGTTGCCAACCCACTGCCAACTTATATTCTGCCCAGCTAATTAATACACAAAAGGCAACAGCCATTTTGAAAATAGGAGCACACTAAGAATTCTATAGAAAAAGCAACGAATTAAAAAAAGCAGGAAACGTGCATAATACAACACTTACCTTTTTCAAAAAAATCTTCATTTTATTTTTTCCCCCCTCTATTGCTCTTTCTATGTACACAGTGATCTGTTTTTGCTTAAAAAAATTCAAAGAGCTGTACAAATTTTTGCACTGCGCATGCTGTTATTCCCAGGATGTACACAATTATCCCTTTTTTATATAAAAAAAGGAATCAGATAATTTCTTAAATTTTGCATCAAACAAAAATTTCAATCCACAAAGCTTGATCATTTGATAAGTACAACTTCATGGAATGTGAAATTTTGCATTCTCTACTGCTGGCCAAATGACACATACCTGAAAAAATGCAACACTTTTTCATCAGCCAGCAAACTCCATACTCCCATTGAAACCTTTTATACGGGAAGTGTACTCAATGCAAAAACGAAAACGAATCAGAGAAATGGCCATTGATTTTGAAGGTGGAAATACGTGCTCATCTGTTATGCATGCACGCATATCTAGGATGTCACACAAATACATTTTGGTAATGTCATGGGTTGCCTATATTGTTATGATTTGGTTATGCATTATTTTGTTGTGTACAATTATTATATTATTTTACTGTGTTTAATGAATTTGTATTGTTATTATTTAAGAATTTATGAATAATATTTAGTATTGTTTAAACTTTATCTCAATTACGGCAAAGCTCCTGTAAGTTTAGCTGAAGATGTGACTCAGGAAAAAGGGAGAGGCTTGTTACTTCCGTATCCCATGGGAAGCGGTCAGTTGCAGCCAGCTGCATTTTCCTCTTTTTGCAGGGGTTGAAAACACATGTTTTGCTCGTTCAGGGGCGAATAGTTCAAAGGGAACGATGTTATTTGACAGAGTTATAGGTTGGAAACATTTCTCTTTGCATGGGAAAGAAAAGGAGTTCTGTCATCTTATAGAGAGTTCTGAATTTCTGCGAATTCTAAAGGCTATTTATTGCCTGTGTTCTAAGTGGCTCGAGGGGGTCCAAGTTTTGTTTAAGATTGGTTAAATTTTAATTTTAGTGATATTTGAGCCAATGGTGAATTAGAGGTGTTTCTTTGTGAGTGTCAACCGAGTTTTCTTAAGTCGTTACACGGTAGAAGAAGAGAGATTTTTGTGAGATTTGGCCCAGTTTTGATCGACTTTGAGAGGAGCATTACCCGGTGACCCTTTAGGAGCAACCGCAGTTACAGTTAATATTGGTGATCTCCGAGGCACTGGCAGCGGTCCTAGCTCGTCGTGAGCTCCTTTCGGTTAAATTTCGGCATAACTGGCTGAAGATCTGGGGCTAGGTCCAGTGTCTTAATCATGTCTCTGACATTTTCTATGTGTGAAAGAGTTGAGTCTGAATTGCTCATGCTGAAGTTCCAGTTTGCTTTGGAAAATATGGAAAAAAAAAAAGGGGGAAGTCATCATCTCCTGTTTGTCCATCTCCTTCTGTTATCTTCAGAGAGCACGCATGAAAACACAAGTTGGCAAAAAAAGCTGTATAACGCGCGACCTCAAAAAAAAAATAATAATAATAATAATATAATAAAAAAATATCAACCTTTTAATATAAAAAGTATTAAACATATACATATAATTAAACTAAAATAATACTTACTATTTTTTGCTATTAATTTTATCTTCCACAAGATGCTCTCTATGTAACTTAATTTAACAGTTGATACATGAATACTGTACACAACATTACAACACACTAATATACATATTTATGTTATATATTACTGCCCATTTGCAGGCAATGACAAGTTTTAGAGATAATATATATATATAACTGTTACTATAGCTTTCAATTATCTTCACTTATAGTTCAATAAACAGTACTTTATATAACACCAGAAAAAGTAGTCATATGAGATAATATAGTTACAAAATAACATATAGTTAAAGGAGGAATACAAAAAATAACTATTTTGTCTCGGTCTCACTCGATCCTGATTAAAAATTTTAGGGAAAAGCTTTTTCTTTTTTGCTACTTTCGCAGCCAACTTTTCTAACTTCCGTTTGCGAGCTAGTTTCAATTTCTTTTCAGCAGCTTTTATACAATCCATTGATACATTTTTATTTTCTTTATTTTCTGCAATGTTTAATTGCTTTCTTTTAGATTCTCGCTCCTCCTTTTTTATCTCTAGCTCTTCTTTGTACAGTTTATGAGTATTCCTTAAACTTTTACATAGAGTTTTGTGTACTGGAGAATGCAAGTGGTTATCCCTTTTAAAAAATTCCAGAGCTGACTTATTGCAACTCAAAAATTTGTTTTTTACTGTTAGTATAGCAGACAATGTGTCTATACTCATGCAGCCAAACTCCTTGTCTAATACACTGCTCATAGAACTAAAAGCACTCTCAACTTGTGGCCCATGGAAACAAAATAGCTTTTACCATTTTGGATAAAGCTGGATAACTGCCATCTGCAAATACTTTGGCCCACCACTCATTAAGTCTCATTATTTTTCCCTCTATATCTAATGGTGAAGCTAATTTTTTATCAATTTGGTATTTATGCACTTCTAAATTATATGAAATTGTGTCTTCTTATGTCAAAATATTCTGGATTAATTCAGACAATCTTTTAAACTTAAGTAAGGTACTATGGTGACCTCTGGCTATAGCATCAATTCTGATATGCTTTTTAATAATGGGTTGTTCAATGGCAAAGTCTTCTGAAGATATTTTGCACAGCTGATGAAAGCTTCAGTGGAATTTTTAAAAAATTCTTTAACATGTTTCACTAAATCTTTTTGAAATAAGTGCAATTGTAGCTGCTCCTAAATACATATTCTTTGGGGATAAAAGATGAGATTCATCTACAATATCTAAAGTCGAAATTTCTGAGATTTATTTTGGAGAAATTCTGACTTAATAAACAGTGCTAAAAAATCAATAAACAGCTGCTTCTGCTCATCATGCAATTTATGTATTGAAGGCTCTTTCATTTGAAATAGACATACATACTTTTTAATAATGGGCAATACAGACACATAAAAATGCATAATTAATTGCAGTTTTTTCCTGTCATAAAATAATTTTGAAGTTATTCTTTCTTTTCGTTTCCTCCCATCACTTGTCAAATGCTTTTGCTGTAAATACCTGTGGATATCCTTAATACGTTCTCTGCTTTAATTGCTCAGAGTTCTTTGTTTATAGATACTGCAACACATATTAAAATATAATAATCTGTCATGCTGATTTCAAAATCTATAATAAAAATGGTTAAATAATCAAACATGAGTAAATTACTCAACGTAATATCATATATGGACAGCCAGCAGTGTTTAATAAAATGTTCAATAGCAGTATATTTGACATTTGAAATCACACATATTTCCTCTAATTTTTATTTTAAATCAACAGACCAGTTAAAGTCATTATATATACCTTCTACCTACCCACCAAATGGTTTAGAAAATACCTTGGATGCATTATGTATATGATGGCAAGAATCTCCATCAATATCTAACAAATGAGGAGCCTTCTCATTACGAAGTCTCACCTCTAATCCAGACTTTGATCCTTTCATTATATTGCAAGAATCCATCAAAACAAACATGAGATTCTCAAATAGCAGCTGATTTTTGTCAAAACGAGACAAAATGTTTTGAAATAGTTGTTCAGCAGACACATTAAAAACATTCGACCACTACTTTATTGTCTTCCGTAAAAAGTAACTGATTAGCCAGTTACTTTTACGGACTGGCTAATCAGTTACTTTTAGCCAGTTTTGTAATGCACAAAACTCTCATTTGATTACTACTTGTAGCTTCATCAATATTTAATGAAAATTTAAACTTTTTAAAATTGTTCACAGTTCCATTGAAAAATGTTTTTGAGAGGCCTAATCTCATTTTATATGAAGCAGTAGTACGAGCCATTGAGAGCTGTGATAGTGCCCTTATCAGATGCATGGCCTTCAATTATGCACCATTGGCATTGCCATTAATCAATTTATCACAACAGTAACAGGTAAGGCAAATTATTTTCAGCCACATCTCCAAGCAGGTTGACCCTCTAAGCTGGAAACTCAATCAAAAATTGGAACACTTTGTAAGGATTATGTTAATTTTATTAACAGTTAAATTTTAAGTTCCTTTCCTGTCAAACTCTTAATTTCAACATACTACTTCTGGCCAGAACATA